CCTTCCTTCTTTCCTTCCTTCCTTCCTTCGCCAGTGAATATCTGAATAAAGAGGGAACAAATGAATCAACAACTAACTGGGGAACAAGCAGGTTAGACCGAAGGCAGGAACAGATAAAGCCATGGGTTGAGGCCTTGCCGGCTGCTGCCCCTAGAGGGTGCTCCAAGACTTTGGGAGGATTTGAGCCATTGCCTAAACTCAAAATTCTGGGAAGCTGCACCCCACAGCCTCAGTCTTTGTGAAAATCCCCAGAGCTGAAAGCCACTAGAGCTGTCTTTTTGGTCATTTTCATTTTGCCCTAAAGGAAACCCCAGCGGGTAAGGCTGATCCTGTAGTAAGAAACAGAACATGGGGACCATCCCCTCTGTCCATTCATTGCCCCGTCTGGGGCTGGTTCTGTGTGACTGATGTCGGCACCCTCCCCCAGCTGACTGTTTATCAGAATGACCTCTATGATCAAGGGAAAAGGTCACCATTGCCAGAGGACCCAGAGAAGAGGCACCTGACCCAGACAGTGTTAGGGGCTATAATCCAGGCCCTGCTCTGCTCATCAACTCCCTTTTCATAAAAGGACCAGAAGGACCAGTGGCACCCAGGACTGAGGTCCCTGCAAAGGGCAGGTTTTAATGAACAGAATGGGTCAGCAGAGAAGGGTCTGAGCTAATGAATGAGGAGTTTCTGGGCCCATGAGATAGAGAAATCCAGGCTGGGGTGGGTGTGCAGCCCCCTCTGGAATGGGTCAGGGTTTCAGCAGTGTCTTTACTGGGCGCCTCTTGTGTGCATGGGAGGAAGGGAAGGGGATGGAATTAATATTTAGCTAGCGTGTAGCACTTACTTTACGTCCCGCAATGGACACCTCTTTTTATCTCTATCTATTCACTCTCCCCTGAAGCAGCAGTAGACTTCTCGTTTTTCAGTTGAGGAAACTGGCGGGTTAAGAAAGTTGCTGGGTGTCAGGCAGCTGGTGTGGCTGTAAAGGAGGTGGGGTTCCAGGATCCCCTTTACCATTCTCTGAGGAAACAGCCACCTCAGGCAAGTGCAATTCCTGTCTCCTCTCAGCTCTGACCTCACCTTCCCTTCCTCCCGCCTTCCAAGCAGAAGGCGTTTTGTTAGCCCCATCTCCTCAAGCCTTCCCCAAGTTCTCCTGAAGACAGTGCATGAGGAATGAGTGTGGAGAGAGGCCCCACTAGCTGGGGTGGGGAGTGGGGAATGGAGAAAGGAGAAGACAGGGAGCAGCTCCTGGGTCATGACCTTGTGAACCCCAAGGCTTTCCTGTCAGGCTTGGTTGCCAAGGTGTCCTTGGCTCCATGTCAGAAGGTTCCCGGAGAGCTCCTCAGGGGAACAGAAAGGCAGTTTGTTGAGCTAAGGGGCCTTTGAGAGACGTTCAGGAGTTTGATTCAGGAGGTGGCAGAAACAGGAGAATGAGGGGGCGAGGAAGAGAAGAAAAAGGAATTTGGCAGGAATTTGGCAAGCCCAGGACAGGAAGCAAGGCAACAACGGACTCACAACTTTTGCCTTTTTAGGCTTGAACCATCGCACTGTGGCCTGAGATGGAGGCTCTTGGGCTGAGATGGGGGTTTGGGTAAAAGGCAAGCTGGCCAGCTGCCTCCCGGCGTCAGCTCCTGGCAGCCAGCGGTCTTTCTCTCCAGCAGCTCCTTCCTGCCACCCTCAGATCTGTTCCCCTGAGTTACCTTTTCCCTCTGAAGCATCCTGGAGGGCTTCCCCTTGGGAGCTGGCTGACCATATGTGTGTGGTGGCCATCTTTCAAAGCCCAGGCCTGGGATACCCACTTTGACATGCTTGCATGAGTGAATGAGGAAAGCAGGGTGGAATACTGAAAATCCCCCTTTGTGGTTCCTTGCGTGAATGGGTTTTAAAGGAATGCTTCGTGGGTCAGAGATTGGGTTTGGGTCCCGGAGGAGGAGCCTCTCACCCAAAGCTTTGGGGAAACCGAGGCCAGGGGATCATGTTGAGTTAGGAAGTGAGCTAAAATCTGAAGGCTGGACATGTCAGAGGAAAAACTGGAATGAGTCAGCTGAGCGACCGGAAGCAGGGAGTCCAATAGGAGTGGGTAGTTAGAGACTGGGGCCCTGGGCAGCCTTTATGTGCCGGGTTCATGGAAAAGCTGGGCAGAAGGATCAGACCCCGAGTGGGCAAATCCAAAATGGAGCATGGCATTTTCTGAATCCCTTTGCTGGCAGATTACTGAAATGGTCCAATATGAGAACAAAATGCTTGAGATTTTCGATGTAAGGTTACTTGGGGTGTATGTGCGCACGCCTGTGTGCATATGTGCACTCCCGAGAGATGGTGAGAGACAGAATGAGATTGATCTTATAGGCTACAAGTGTCAGGATTCTGCTGTCACCAGGCTAATTGATTTCAGCTCCCACAGTTCAATTAGGCTTGTCCTCCAGGCCGGCCACACTCCTTCCCCACGTTGCTCTGATCACGTACACTGCGTCTCTTTGTTCCCTGACCAACAGGAGCTTGGCATTCCATATGCTTCGAATGACTTGATATTCGTTCTAACCTTCCTCCCTTGTGTTCTCTTAAAATCTTAAACTGACCATCTCGCCCGAGAGACCCTTGGCGCACATGTGAGAATGAAGAGCCCGTTTCATTAGCAGTGACTGCCTAACCTCTCCGCACCCACAGCTAATGGTCCAGCGTCGTGTGGGAAGAGGCCACAGGTGGTTCATTGACTACGTGATTTAACAAAGCTCCAGGCCCCAGTCATGATGGCTATAGGGGAACTTGAGCGATAGATTCCATTTCTAAGAAACACTCTGGGGTTTCCTGTATCATCTCTCAGGAATATTTTCACATGAGTGTGAAACACAATGGTTCTTAGACTTTTGATCCTGGGACCTCTTCTCCCCACAGGAGTTGCCACACCTACACCCGTTCCTCCAAGTCCCAATCTGTGGGCACCGGGGCCTCAAATCCATCTCTAACAGCTTCCTCCCTCTGATTGCGTTTATAGAGTTGGTGCTTCGCTTAAAACCTCCTCTTTTCATGGTAAAATAAGGTAATAACAAGTATGTAATGGAGGGCATGTTCTTTCTTTGGTAGATTCGATGCCAGTGAACAACAAAAGAGCTGTGTTGCCTCCCACAGAAGCTTCTCCGTCTCCGTCTCCTTCCCCACTGTCTTCTGCTTCGTCTTCCCCACTATCTTCTTCAGGCAGCATCCCAGGGAGTGCTCTGGATTGTTCCTTCCCACCTCAGGTGAGCGTCCCTCAGGGCCCTGCACAGGTGTTAGGAAAGTGAGCTGCCTTTAGTCTCCCCACTTCCACACTTAAATCTGAATTCTTAGCACTCCTAGGTCACCCAAGTGCAAAGCCAGGGCTGGAGAGCCGGTCTGTTGAGAGCCCACCCCAGTCTTCCTTCATTGAGTTCCTTTCACAAAAGCTCATCCTGCTCCCTCTCAGCCAACCCCTAGGGCACAGCCACTCATTCACTCAGCAAACTTTACAGGATATGAAATCTGGGCGGGGCTGTGGGATGCAGAGATGCTAGGACATAGGCTGTGCCCTGGAGGATCTTGCCAAGGGTGTGAGGAGCTGCCAGCTGCAGGATGGCAGGCACAGACCTAAGGGAGCCTTTGGGGGGCAGCTGAGAACCTTGGAAGCAACGTCCCCCTTGAGTAGAAAATGGCATCACTGAGAAACACAGAGTTGGACTCTTTCCTTCAACATGAGTCTATCAGGCCTTCATGACCTGCCAGACGCAGCTCTGGGCTGTGAGAAGTGGAGTGCATAGACAGAGGAGCGCATGCTCCTCCTGGGAAGCGTCTGTCCCATGACCTGCCCCTCGGCCGGAGCTCGTGGCAGGGCACAGCCACTCCTTCTAGAGTCTACCTCTGGTCTCCGTTTGCCAAGGGCCATGCTAGAAATGTCTAATTTCTCAGTGGTACAAGGCATGAGTCAGGTTTTAAAAAGTCATTGGAAGATCCTAAAGGCCTTCCTGCCACCACAGCTCCAGCCCAGAAGGGTAGCTATCTTTCCTTGCCTCAGTAGGCCCCAAGGAAGAAGCTTAGGTGTCTTGGTAGTTGGAGGAATGTAGTTGTGGGTGCAATGTCCCTGTTAGTAGGGACCATGGCTGAGCAAGCCACAGGGCATCTGTCCTCCCCTATGTGTCTGGCCACCCACAGGGGCACAGGCCAGCCCTACCCTCACTGGCCCAGGAGCTTGTCGGTGCCTTTGCCTTACCTTCTGGCTCCCTACGCACCTAACCCAAGACCCAGAAAAGCCTTTGGTCAATGTGACACAGATCCCAGCAGGTCTCAAGGCGGCCACTTGAATGAAGCGTGGCTCTCTGAAATCATCCCAGGCAGAATTCTTTTTGACTTTGGGTATATGAAATCTGGAGAGAGGGAGGGAGCAGCCTATAGACTGAGATGTGTCTTCCTCATATAAATCAATGCTGGAAATTTCTAAATCACTGCTATTTTTTGCCCAGCAGGTCTCCAGAGGTCATTTCAGTCCTTCCACCCCAATCTTTCTGAGGCGTGCCAGAGCCCAAGGAACACCGAAGGAAATCCCTCTATATCTGCCTCATGGCCAAATGCTGGAGCGGGCAGAATACTGCCTGGTGAGGCCTGGTGGAGAAGGCCTCACAAGCCCCAGGACACCTGTCCCTGCAGACATGGCTTCTGATGCATGTCAGGAAGCAGAGGCCCCTCTTGGGGACACCGGAAGCATCCACAGCGGCCCACACTCCACTGGGGGGAAGGACAGGTGTTTGCCAGACCCCGAGTTGTCACCCAGGGCTGGAGAGGACTCAAGAGAAGGGAGCATTGATCCCAGGAGGGGAGAGGAGGGTGCGTCAGAGCTGGCAGAGGAGAAGAGGCTGGGCTTAAAGAAGTTGGTTCTCACTGAGGAGCAGAAGACCAGGTTGCTGGACTGGAATGACTCCAACCCTCAGAGCTCATGCCTGGAAGCGGGGGCACAGCTTTCCCAGAAAAGTGCTGAGACTGGTAGAGGAGGCCGTGTGCTGAAACCAGTCCGCCCCTTGCTGCTCCCGCGGACAGTCAGAGAGACCCTGCCAGCCCAGACAGAGGCTCAGGAGAAGATGGGGACCCCAGCTGAAAGGACTCCAGGGGAGCGAAGCGTGGCTCCACCCAAGTCTCCACTGCGGCTCATAGCAAATGCCATCCGAAGGTCTCTGGAGCCCCTGCTCCCCAACTCCGAAGGTGGGAGGAAGGCCTGGCCCAAATCAGAATCAAAGATTTTGCCCATGATCCATCCACCCGCTTGCACTCGCTCATTCAGCTTTCGGAAAACCAGCTCCAATAAAGACTGGAACCAGCAGTTGCCCAGGAGAAATATGGCAAACAGGGCCTCAGCCCTCTTCTCCCTGGGCACTCCGGCGGCCAAGGCCGCCCAGCCCTCAGACCCTGGCCCTCCTGACCTTGCCTTCCGCACCCGTAGTTTGCCCAGCCGGCCATCCAAGATGTTTCCTGCATTCGCGTCCCCACCTTCCAACAAGATAGAAGATGTCCCCACACTCCTCGAGAAAGTGAGTTTGCAAGAGACCTTCCCAGATGCTTCTAGGGTTCCAAAGAAAAGATACTCAGTCTTTCCCTCCCTCAGACTCAAAGACAAACCCCTTGAGAGTTTCCTCCAAGAATCCAGACAAAGAAAGGACCTCCAGGACTTCTTTAGTAGCCCCAAGGGGAAGGTGCTGCCTGTGGACAATGCGCAGCCCCTGGAGAGGCGGGTGCCGCCTTTCAGTAGCACCTGCCTGGGGCAGGGGACCCATCCTCCTTCTCTCGAGCGAGATGCAAGTAAGTGGCACTTTCCTAACCAAAGTCTACAGTTCATGCTGGGCAGTTAGTTATCCTTATTAGATGAATAAGCAGCATCTTTCACTTGGTTTTGCTTTTCAAATTAAATTCTGATGGGAAGTAGGAACATTTGAATTTGAAAAAAATATTAAAACATTAAATTTGAAATTATGTTATAAAAAGTTTTGAAAGAGACAAAGGATTAACCATAACTTCACTTTCCCACTCATTGTCTATATATGAATATTTTTTATTTAGTTGTACATAAAATTTTGTATTCTTTTAAAATTAGCATTATATGATAGATAGGAAGCCAATGACCTCATAGTCTACATAACTGTGATTTAATGGCTGTAGAATATTCTATCTAGTGGCTGTGTTATCGTTTGATGAACTGTTTTCTCATTGTTTAACTTATAGATATATATGCATATATAAATTATATATATGAATATATTTATGTTTTATATATAGTATTAAGTGGCCTTTTTTTGCATATAGCTTGTCCCTTTTTTTTTAATTACTTTTTTAAGGATAGGTTCCAAGAAATGGGATTACTGGGTGAAATGTGAATATTTTCAAGGCTCTTCGCTTATACTGACAAATTGCTCTTTAAAAGAGATTGCTATGGGTAAAGGATACATGGAATCTGTGGCATTTCTTACAACTGCATGATATAAATTTCAATTAAAACAAGAGAAAGGTACCAGTTTATAGCCACTAATGTATAAAGGTACCTTTTTCAGCACACTCTGCATTGAGTATCCTATTTTTAAAATGATGCTATTTTACTAGTCAAAAAATGGTGCCCCTTTTGAACTTGTATTTTGTTGTTGTTGTTGTTGTTGTTACTGGCTTAAATATGTTTATGTATATTTGGTTACCAATGGACCCTTAGGCTTTTTATGTTTAAATCTTGATAATTTTTAAATTATAAGATTAATTAATACATCAAAGAATCAGGATCATTGAACAATATGGAAATATCTAAAAAAAGGAACATGAATTCTCTTTCCCACTCTCCTCCTTGCCAAAGTTTTGGTGAATAAATACCCTTAGAGGCAGTTTAGTTAAACACTCACATGATTTCTTTGTTGATGTTGATACGTGTTTGATTACTTTAAATTACTGGGATTCTCCTATCCCTATTGTTGAACTACTTTGTTTTCCTTTATTTTTTAATGTTTTATTTTCTTATTTAACTT